AGCAGGAATTAGGAATACCACAGATAAGAATATATTCAAATAACCCAATTAAAAATGGGCAAAGGATCTGAATGGACAAACGCTTCTCTAAAAAAAGATATACAAAGGCCAGTAAGCACATGAAAAGATGCTCAAAATCATTATCCATTAGGGAAATGCAAACCAAGACTACAGTGAGATACCATTTCACACCTACTAGGATGGCTGTAATAAAAAAGACAACTTATTGTGGTCATCATTTCATGATGTATGTAAGTCAAATCATTATGCTGTACACCTTGAACTTATACAGTGCTGTATGCCAATTATATCTCAATAAAACTGGAAGGAAAAAAAGATAATAAGTGTTAGTGAGGATGTGGAGAAACTGGAACCCTCATATACTGCTGGTGTTAATGTAAAATGATGCAGTGGCTTTGGAAAACAGTATGGTAGTTCCTCTAATGATTAAAAACAGAGTTACTATATGACCCAGCAATTTCACTTCTAGTTATATATCCAAGGTAAATGAAGACATATGTTCACACAAAAACTTATACATGAATGTTCATAGCAGCATTATTCATAATAGCCAAAAAAGCAAACCATCCAAATCTCCATCAACTGATAAATGGATAAATAAAATTTGGTATAATCATACAATGGAATATTATTTGGCCATAATAAGGAATAAAGCACTGATACATGCTAACATGAATGAAATTTGAAAACATCATACTGGCTTTGTATATACCCTATACCAGTATATGGTATGTATCATATATTGTATGATTCCATTTATATGAAATGGGATTTATAGAACAGGCAGATCTAAAGAGACAAAAAATTAATAATGCCTAGGGCTATGGTGGGGATGGAGGAAAGAAAAGGAAATGACTGATTGCTAATGGGTATAGAGTCTCTTTGTGGGGTGATAAAAATATTCTCAAAGTGTTGTGATAGCTGCACAACTCTGCAAATATACTAAAACCATTGAATTGTACATTTATTAATAGGTGAACTGCATGTTCTGTGATTTATATCTTGAAAAAGCTATATGTATTTTTTTTCCCCAAAAAAGTACATATGCTGGGTGTGGTTGAGTTGTGGAACTCTGTGAAATTGCCTGTCAGAAATACTGCTAAGAGGCAGTGAAAAGATGAGTTATCACTCACAGCAGGATACAGTGGAAAGAGCACAGAACAACAGTCATAGATTCACTGGATTTTAAAACTGGGTATCTTCCAAAAAATCTGATCCAAATCATTCATGTCATGGACAAAGTAACTAAGACCAACCTAAATTAAGTAGCTTGGTTTTGACACATAGAAGTACTCAAATATTTATTGACTAATCCAAAACTAAAAGAAAAGTTGAAAACAACATTAATGTGGCTTCTATTTAGAATTCTGTATAAATGACAACCATTTGCTAATTTAAATAATCTCTTATTTTACCAAAAACTATCATTATAAGAATAATTCTTTTTGTAGTTCCTTGAGTTCAAAGTTTAGTCCATGTATTTTAAATTGTCTTGCTTTCTTAATAGACATTCAAGGCTACAAATTTTCCTCTGAGGATCTGTTTGGCTGCATTCTACAAGTTGTGGTATATAGTAATCTTAATGCCATTTAGTTTATATTTTCTATTCGTTTATATTTTCATTTTTACTCTCATTTTAAAGAATATAGTCTCAACTTCTAAGTAGATGGAACTTTTTGGTAATCTTTTATTGTTAATTTCTAATTTTATTGCATTAAATCTAAGAGGTCAGTATAATTTCTACTTTTTGGAATTTATTGAGATATTCTGAAGGTCTGTGGAGAAATAATGTTTTATACTACATCCAGATTTTCTTCTTAGGAGGCATGTTTTATATATCTACAGTTAGCAAGTTCCCAAAGGAAAAACTAGACCCAGGGGTGTGTAGTTTTCCAATAAGCAGGAGAATGTGGATGTGTGGGTGTGAGGATATGGTGGTGGGTTAAAGGATAGTGAGTTCACTTTAAGGTTTAAGTAAACAAATTAACTTTCCTATAACAAACATATTGTATAACTTAGGGAAAAAAATAATTTCTTTTAATACATAGTTTATAAATTTCAGAGATCATATTAATGTAATTATAATCTTTATTTCTCTCATTAATGATCAGTAAAAAGAGAGGATCTTGCAACTAAAATATATAAATAGTGATATTTTACAGGTCATAATTACAAAAAATCTTTGCCCCATCTGACTTTTTCATCACAGTATTTTTGTAGTTACCAGAAAATAAATGTATTACCAAGAAAGGTAATGATTACCCCAGCATCATGGATTTCATAATTCTTCTCATTAACTTAAACTTCCATTTCCATGCTGAGAAATCAAAGCCTATAATTTCTAATTAACATAGTATAGTACATAGTAAATTTCTGTGAATGTTCCACTTATGATGAATACAACATGACCATTTAGTGTTCATTTACTATATGTCTGACACTATTTTAAGTGCTTTAAGTATACCAACTCATCAACAATAATTTGTAGTAAGGATTATTATTATCTTCACTTTACAGATGAGGAAACTGAGACAGTGGTTAAGCAACTTGCCTAAGGTCACATTGCTAGAAAGTGGTGGAATCAGGATTCAAATCCAGGTAGTCTGGCCGCAGCCTCCACCTCTTAAGTCATGTGAAAAGCACACATGAAAATTCAGGTACATTATCTCTGATAAACAAAATGACAGAAATAACTTAAAGACAACTGAGTTCAAAGAGTCAAATTATGACAGTTAATGTCATCCTAATAATGATTTCCTATTTAAAAGCATTAACCCACAAATTATAACAAAGACACATGGGGATTTATCTGAGGGTAAACATATATTTACATATTAAATCCAATTACTTAAAGATAGTCCTGTTAAATAGATACCTACAATTATGTATTACAATGTAATTTATTGAGCTTATTAGTTCTAAGATTTATCAGCATGTACTTCTGTTATGAATTTCATTTAAGTTTCATTTAAGGATTTTGTAAAATCAATTTGTTGATGTAAAACAAGGCTGTCGTGGACAATTAAAAAAAAATAGACTAGTATGTTACAAAAGCTTCCAGTGAAATATAGTACGTATTTTAGAGGCCTTACCTCACTATAACATTTTAGCTAGCAGTAATATGTTTTAAACACCTTACCTTTGAGAATCCAAGTTCTGAAAGCAATCTGTCAGCTACAAATTCAATATACTGTTTCATCAAAACACAATTCATTCCGATGAGGCCAACTGGCAAGGCTTCTGTTAAAAACTCCTGAGATATAAAGAAAAACAGAATAAAGTAGAAAGAAAGAACAATAAATTGTATGTGTTTTCCAAATAAAAAGAGGGTTCTAATTTTATTAATCTTCTAAGTCACTGATCTTGTTCAAGGAAAGTACACTAGGATAAATTCTTTCAACATGGCAAACAATGCTCACTTGCTTAAAAATGTTTGGGGTGTTACTATTCACATTATTATTTCACATTCTCATATAGCCAAAGTAAATTGAAACTATTACACTACCGGTATTTTTTAAAGTAGCACTTAGGGCTTCCCTGGTGGCGCAGTGGTTGAGAGTCCGCCTGCCGATGCAGGGGACACGGGTTCGTGCCCCGGTCTGGGAAGATCCCACATGCCGCGGAGCGGCTGGGCCCGTGAGCCATGGCCGCTGAGCCTGCGCGTCCGGAGTCTGTGCTCCGCAACGGGAGAGGCCACAGCAGTGAGAGGCCCGCGTACAGCAAAAAAATAAAAAAAATAAAAAAAATAAAGTAGCACTTATAGGACCTGAATTTATATGCTTTCTCAATAGGAAAAAAGGAGATACTTTGTTCTGCAATACCCAGAAAAAGATTCACCTAAGATGATTGTTGTGGGGAACATGACTATGAAAGGGAACTGGAAAAGAGAGAAAGCTCAATTAATAGAGAAAATGAGAAAGAAATAGAAATGGATCTGGGAATTGGGAGATAAACTGAACGCCAATTATATTGAAACACAGTGGTAAAGTTTTAATAAAGAAAAAATTAAAACATATTAACCATTTGGATTTAGTTCTAAAAGTGATCAAGATTTATGCCTTTTCTCTCTTCCCAATATGAAAACTACGGCTATTAAAGTATGCACTATTAAAAAGAAGTTTAAAAATTTATTTTACTTTTCAACTAGTTCTTTAAAATGATAAAAGTACATTCTAAGTGAAGCATCCAGGTCTGTCTAGTTAGAGATCTTTACATGCCCTAAATCATACTTTACTATTCACTAATTCATTTATTTATTCATTCTGTGAACATTTGATGCATGCTTCAAGCTAGATACCCTCCTAGTTTAAGAATACAAAACAAGAAACCATCACTGGCCTCTAGCAGCTAAAAACCTAGAGAGCTAAGATAATTAAAATAGTTTGTTATGGCATGAAATTTGACAGATCAATGAGACAAAAAAATAGTCCTGAAACAAATTATAGTGTACATAAGATCTTAATATATAATAAAGACTGACTTATAAACCAAATTATAAGTTGACATAATAACTGCAATACATCACCTATTGGTACTGCCAGGTTGACCATATAATATTACTGGTACCTATTTTGACCTACAAAATGGCAATTTCATGTGTCAACCTAATGAAATAATGGTACAAACATCAAAGAAAGAGAGATGTGCTAATTATGTAAGATTTCCTGCTTACCTGCTCAATTTCAACAGCATTAACAATGATCTCCCTAACCCTTTCTTCTGAAGGCTTATTTACTAAGTATTGAAACATCAGGCAAGCAAAGTCACAGTGAAGCCCCTAAAATAGAAGAAAAATATCACTGTCAAAGGACGTTTAATCAGCTATTTTCACACAGTGATGTATCAGGCATTAAATAAAGTAGTTAGGAATGCAACACTGAACTTCTGGAAGACAGAAGGATTAACAGGGCCAGGAACTTCTTTTCTTCAAGTCTTATTAAAATGTCAATTATAATAACCTATAATGAAAAATTTTCAATGCCAGCAAATCTCAGTTCATTAACATGAAAGAAGAATTAATTAACAACAACAAATCTGCAACCAAAAGCATTTTGGAAAGGAAAACAAAGAAGACTCAAAATGCAAATTCGCTCATTTTTAGTGTTTTTTAAAAAAATAAGAAATGATTGAAAAACAATTAAGTATTTAAAGAACAGGTGAAACAGAGATTTCAAACACACAAGTTATATTAAACAAGAATGGCTCAAGATAAAAATAAATTCAGTGTAATGAAGATGGAAACTGAAGAATTAAGGATACCATCTGAAGCTGTATAAAGCATAAATGACATTGCAGATAACTCAACGACAAAAGAAAGCAAAATTGTGAAATACCTTGAGAACAGAATAGTTATGCAAATATATGAAATGATATAGAAATTAAATAATTGGAGAACAGAGCAAGGAGATTCAACCTACAATAATCGGGATTTCAAAACACAGAACAGATGGTATAAAGCTGAAAGCAGCAGATGAAAATTTCAAAAAAAAAACAAAAAGAGAAAGGTCAGAGACATAGAAATATGATGGAGTTCTACAAAATTAACAATTAGAGACTGACAACAAGGCAGAGTCAATTAACATTTCTAAACTACAAAGAAAAAGAAATGAATCTGTAAGCCAACAAGGGAGGAGAAGGTGGAAGGAATACACACTTTAGAGGATTACAAATCAGAGCTGCTTAGCTTTTTCTAAATGAAACAACAAAAACCCAGACAACTGAAAGATAAGACTCAAATCAAGGGTTGTTGTCCAAGGATTATTTACCTAGTTAAATTGTCATTCCCAGAAGAAACCATTAGGGAAAAAACCTCTTTAAATAGCTAATCTTAGAAAATTTACTAGTGAAACATACCCCCTCCACTTGACTCAAGAGGATATTTCAAATTACCAAAGGCTGAATTTCAAATGAACTGCTGAAAGGTGACAACATAGTGTTGATTAGAACCGATAGCTAGCTACCTATTACAGAGATGAGTAAGTCAAAGGCAGGCACTCGTAATTGTTAAATCAATAAGGGAATAAAATTAATTTTGAGGTTTAAAGCGACTCTAATCAAAATCCTAGTGGGGTTGTTTTTAAGCTAAAAAAATTAATCTGGAAGACTAAATGGGCAGAATCTTTTAAGAACACTTTTAAAATAAAAGTTATGAGATTTAGCCTACTAATTATCAAAACATAAAAAACTACAATAATTAAAATAGTTTATTATGGCATGATATTGACATATAGGTTAATGAAAAAGAAAAAGCCCTGAAACAGATTTTAGTATACTTGAAGTCTTAATATATAATAAAGAAGACATCACAAGTCAAAGGAGAAGGAAGGATTACTTAAAGAGAATTGGAAAAACTTCTGAAGAGTGTGTGAAATAAAATTAAGTTACACTAACTTATCCTATGCTTTATTCATATTACATTCCGTACTTGTACTAAAGAAATTTCAATGGCATTAAAGGTTCAGAAGCCGAAACCAAAGTATGTGTGACTATTTAACTCATCTCTGAAAGTAGAACCCACGAATTTCAGGGGTTTGTACATTAAAAGAACAAACAGGGGACAAACAATTTTTGAGGGCAGGAGCCCACTGTGGCCCCCTTTGCCTGGCAAAGTAATAGAGCTATCCTTTTCTACTTCACCCCGAACTCTGTCCCCTGAGATTCGATTTGGCACCGGTATACAGAGAGGCCAAGCTTTCGGTAACAATTTTGGTGATCACCAAGGGACTGCCTCGGGGACGGTCCGGGGGGGGGGGGGGGGCCCGCAAACGCCAGACACC